CACCCTATATTATGCGTGTGGCCCTGTCAGTCTTACAGGGAGCAGACAGCCTCATCTTAGATTGAAGAGCAGTCCAGGAGGTTAGCCCCCACCCCCACCCCACCAGGAAGTGCTGCATGGATAGGGTGGCTGTGACTGGGATCTGGCGGGCGCCAGTGGATTTGAACGTGGGAACACCAGCCACTCCAAAGGACAAAGATGAGGCTGTCTGCTCCCCTAGTGAAACAGCCCACGGAAACCACAGGGACAGTTCTCTGTCCTATAAAGTCACCGAGAGTTGGTATGGATGTGATGGCCTTTGTTTCGGTACGGTAGATCAGTGGGTTACTTACATAGCAGTGATATATAATCCAAGCATGTTTTAGAGCACAGCATTGAGATTTTATAATCACTTTGGGCCTGTTTAACATTAGACTTTCCCTCTTTCTGAAAATTCTTCAAAACCATGTGTTGAAGGTTATCAATTGATTTTCATTTTGATGAATTCTATAAATGTTTCAGTTTTTTATATTTTCTGTACTCTTTTCTATGGAGGTCTTTCTCTGTTTTGTTGTTTCCTCTTGGTTAGTTTCTTGTTTGTTTTTTGTATGACTTTCTGTTTATGAAATCCAGGATAGGTAAACCTATAGAGACAGTAACTGTATTAATAATAATTACCTAGGAAAACATCAGGGGAGGTGGCGTCAAGAGGAATGGGGAGAAAACAATTAGAACAAGAAAGAAGAAAATGTTCTTAAATTTTGATGATAATTATACAAATCTTATTAATATGATCAAATGGTTAAATTGTATGATGTGCAAACTACATGACAATAAATCTTGTTAACAAAAGCAGGTTGTGGAATATATTCATTAAAAGAAGAATCAATAAAAGAAATAATCCCATTAAAAAGCAGAATGCATAAACATACATTTCACCAAAAATGACAATCAAATGGCCTACAAGCACAGGAAAAATTGTGTTAACAATCACCAGCCATGTGGGAAGTGCAGATTAAAACAACAATGAGATAAATCAACTTACACTCACAACAATAGCCCACTTACACAGAAACCAGCAAATGCTGGGCAGGTCATGGAGACACTGAAACTCTTATACACTGCTGTGAGTTTGTACATGTGCACAGCTGTTGTGTAAAGCAATATGATATACTACTTAAAACAGCTGGGACTAGAAACCAGAAACCACCCAGCAGTATCTGCACTGTGCATATACCCCAAAGGAGTAAGAGGCACAACACCAACAGACAAATGTATGCTCTCCAATGTTTATCATACAAAATTATGTTCACAACAGCAAGAAGCTGGAAACAGCCCTAATG